CTCCTGGCGTGGTGAAGCGTCTGCTCCGCTCCCTTGCACCATCGACGCAACATCTTGGCTTGCCATGGCTCTGATGCCACTTGTTAGTCCCTGCCCGTTCACTGCTCAGGTAAGCAAAAATGCTTCCGGCACAAACTAACACTTTTAGGATGAAAGAAGAAGATTGTGAACAACTCAATGTATTGAGTATTAAGTTTTTCTGTGTTTACAAATGAAAAACTGCATTCCTATTTATAAGAACTAAAAACAACTATTCTAGTGGCTTTACTAGAAATTTCTTGAGCTGAAAAATCAGCCTAAAATGGCTGCTATGAAAGTGCCATGAAATTGCAATGAAAGTGTAATGAAAGTGTAATGAAAGTGCAAGGAAGTTGCACTTCACTAACAAGGAAACTTCAGGATTATATCTTACACTATGTTCTAGCAATTTTAATTCATTCATTGTACATTATTTTGGTGGTTTGCTAATTAAGATGCGTGAAGAAGTGCAATTTGGTGGTGTTATTTAATATTAAACTTTCATCTGGCTAATTGGATTACAGACCATATATTGAAGCAGATTCTGCCACCTGGGATTGAAGTACCGTCGTCATTTGAAACAATAGTTAAGTGTTTTATGTGTCAGCATTCTTCCCGTCAATCTTTCATTTTGGTATTCTCAGTGTTGCCTAATCCCCTCATAAAATTCTTAGATTATTATTCTGCTAATTTCTTAGAATGACGAATAATCATTAATGACATTCTTTTGAAATACATCTAGTTTCCTTACTTGAGATCGTAGTTAATGGTTCTGTTTTCGAATTGCTTTTGTGCAGGGTCACATTGCCCACCTGAATATAGCGGATGAACTGCTACCGTATAAAGATGTTATAGCAAAAGTAATTTATGATGTATGTTTTTCTGCCTTTGTATGTATAACTTGTTTCCAAGATAGTTGACTCACTAATTTGTTTATCCGCAGATGAATTCTTAGAACTTGCAACATAGTAGTAAGTTTCAATCTGCCAAATTCTGGAATTAATTTTTTGCTTTGGTAAAATAAGTTATTTTTTAATGATGCCAAGTTTGAATATATAAGGATTCCATGACTATTCTTTTATGCATATCATGATTTTTCTTGAAAGCAGTCAATTACTGGAGCCTATTGGAATAACGCACCGATTAGAATTAACCATTGAAATACTGATTATTTGAATTATTTTATATTACCAGTCCTAAAATTCTGAACTCCTCTTCCTTTATATTGTTTTTTTTTTTTTTTTT